AAATGATTAGCTAATTATTAAATTTGCTTATACAACTTCAATGATTAGCTAATTATTAAATTTGCTTATACAACTTCAATCATATACCTATGCATTTTGGTTACTTTATTACATCCCAAAAGTAATTCTATATATTGAAGCAGTGTTTGGGTTAAGCATTGCATACAAAGTAAATGATATATGCTTCACCCTGAGGAAAAGTTTCTCGACCACACTACCATGCAAATATCGAATCAGTGAGTGACATATTCCCATCAGTGTTATTTAACTGATGGGAATGTGTCAGATGTAGTTTAATTAGCATAACTATGGGAATTTCCCCATGCTTGACCCTGAAGGAAAACAAATATGTGTATTGTGTTGGAATACAAATAGCGAAAGAGTAAGATATTCTCTTCAGTGTTGTTTAACTGCTGCATATGTTTTTAATTTTGATTCCATATAATTTGTTTTTAATTATGATGGAAAGAAAAATATTTAAATACTGAACACTATTTCGAGTATAACAAAAGCATTTTAAGAAACAAGGTGATATAAATACAGTAGTTATTAAAAATATTTAATTTGTACGCAGGCATATTGAAATTAAGAATTAGGGAAGAGTACTTTTTTATAATACTGAAAATATATGTACTTCTGCTGACATCTGAAGTGAATCAATATAAGTGACTTTTTACCTTAAAAAGAATGTAAAAGAATGTGAAGTCTATTTAAAAAGTATACTGACGTAGAAAAGAAATTTGTAGAATTTTATATTAATTAAGTATGAATTTGGTGATTCAAATCATTTTATATATTTTTACTTGAGATATTTAATTTAAACTGAAAATCACGATCATATATTACTCACAGAGTATCAAAATTCATTTGTATTAAAAAAAAGGCATGAGCAATGAAAACATATGGGAAAATACTTTTTGATTATGTTATTACCATGGTTTTGGTAGTTCTGCCTTCATGTATTCTATTCAACAAGATTTATTAAGTGCAGGCAATACAACGTAAAAATATTAAAAAATACCGCATTTAAAATATTTAGTCTCATTAACTGAAATATCATTTTTCATTTTCTAATGCTTTCCTTTAAGAAAAGGATGTTTACAATTATTTTAGCATTCGTATGAATTCTGAATATAAAATAAACATATGCTTTGACAAAATACTTAATAGGAAAGTATATACCCAGTATTTAAAATATGTTATTATACATACTGCATATAAAATGATCATTTTGCTTTAGTTTACACTTTTTCCATTACTGAAATCATGCAACAGACGCGTCGACCAATGTATCTTGTCACTCGGGTGACGTCACTACCAGCAGCCAATGGCATGCTCCGTTCGTGGCCTAACCTGTAGTATATTAAAGAACCTTGGGACAGTTTTATATCTCCCATTCTACTGGGTATATTGAGAAAATTCAAATTGCGTTCTTCATGTCTCGAAAGCACGACTTGGGATATTTATTAGATTTATATATAGCATTGTTCTAACATAGGTATTTTGACACAAAATCTGATTTTTTCTGAAACAACATACTAATTTTTTCCATATTTCGATTCTACGACTCAAATTATGCCTAGATATAAAACTTTGTAAAATTTGGTGTGAATTTTATGGAGAAATTCAAAAATTTATCTTGCCGAAATTTTTTTAGTTTGTGCCAAGAAAAATTCACTTGGCGAACTTCTTAATATTTGGTAACCAATTTTCCTTTCTTTTCCATTATAGCTGAGCGGAAAAAAAGAGGCTCATCCTTCCTACCATTTTACATTGTGCATGAGCAGGAAAAAAAGTCACATCATTCCTACTTTCAAATAATTTTAGCAATGCATCAAAAACCACATTTGATTTTTTACCACTTTCAACAAATATGCCAAATTTTAAAATGCCCCAAAATATAAATCCACATATATCTTTCGAAATTTTGAATAAAAAACTAATTTTTTGCAGGTATGCTTAGAAATTGTCTGCTTTAAGATGATGGTAAAAATCTTATAGATTATAGTTCAGAATTTTTTTGAACAATTTTTAAAAGTTATTTAAAAATACAAATTTTAAAAACAAATCATAAAATATAGGTGAATTTTATTTGGAATGAACCTGAATTTCAAAATGTGAAAGGAAGAAACAAATAGGTTTAATAAAAAAAGAGAGATTAATAAATATGTACCAAACTCAATTAACATTGAGGAGCTAACATTTTGAGAGCTAATTTTTTAAAAACTACTCGTGCAATTTGTACAAAACTTCGTAGTTTGACTAAATTTGAGTTGTAGAATTGAAATATGGAAAAAACTTGGTATGTTATTTCCGAAAAAAGTCCGATTTTATGTCAAAATAGAGCAATGTTATATATAAATCTAATACAAATCCTAAGTCGCGCATCAAGACGTGAAAAACGCAAGTTGAATTTCGTCAATCAGCCCACTAGATCGGGAGATATAAAACAGTCCTATTTTTTTTCCGCAGTGTGCCTCTTAACCAACACATGCCACAAGGCCTTATAAATCATTTCTCATCATTCAAAATGTACTGCAATTATGCAACTGATTATGTCATAAATAGGGGTTCTACAACACTCAACTACTCAGGTTGACATAAATGAAACAATAACTTGGCGAGAAATAAAACAACAACTTTGCAATAATACAAGGGGCAACTTCAGTCTACTCTAACCCTTGAAAATTTGTTCTGATGTTTTTTTGCAATTATCCATTCTAAAATATAATATTTTTAAAAACAAGTCTATGAATTAATTGTTTTGTCAGTGTTTATTTTTAACCATAATGTACAATAAGAAGTCCCTGAAATGATAATTCTGATAAGAAAGGCCAAAATGTCAAACGCTAATAAAATTCGCAAATATGACTAATTTTTGCTCAACTCTTTTAAATCTTACTATATTTTCCAATTATTTCTTTAAAGAGATTGCTGGCATTGGTTGATAGATGCCTTGTTAACAGAGGTTCTTCAGTCTTGCTACAGGTCCACCCGTGGCTGAGTGGTAAAGTCGTAAAGTCGTTGAACACTGGTAGTTTGGTCCGAGGCTTGTGTCCAGCGAACGGACTGATTGCAGGGCAGTTTTCATCATTTTCTTTATGTGTAACGTGTATATATGCCAGTTTCCCTTAGAAAGTCCTCCATGAAGGTGTTACTGGCCTTAGGCAGATAGCCCTCAAGGCTTTGCCATAATCGCATAAACCAATCTGTCTTGCTAGATTCATATTGAAAAAGCTTAAAGTTTAGATTCACTAGAGTGAGTTGTCCTTCCAGTGGCTAAGAGTGATAATATTGCGTGAAATATATTACACCAGCAGAATTTTCTTAGAATTTTTTTGTTACTTTTTATAATGAAATTAGACCAAAGTGCAATCTTTAAGTTGTAGTATGTTTAAGCAGCTTGCCAAACCCTTCAAAATTAATTTTTAATTTTTTATATCTTCTCTTTTTCATTCCTTCTCCCGCATTTTGTATGTGTGTATTTTCGTCAGAAAAGTGTGTGTAATATTATATGCAAGAATAAAAGTCATTCCTTTTTTCAGTTTTTTTATAACAACATGTTTTTATAACATATTTTAAACAAAACATATGTTTTTTATAACATATATTTTGTAAATATATGTTCTAAGACCATGAAATTAACATTTTGTTCACAGAAAATAAATTTCTTGGAATAGACAAAGTTTATAAATTGTAGCTGTTTTGTTTAACGATAAGCTAAAGTTATTAATAATGGAATGTATGTATTTTAGAGTAACTGCTACATCAGTTGTTTGCTTTCTTGGATTGTTGATGCTTGAGCCTCTTTTAATATATATACAGTCAAAAGTCTTTAAACCGGACTCGTCGGGACTTCGGCGATTCCGGATTATCGATTTTTCCGGATTATAGATCATCAGTTTAAATCTGGTAAGATGGCATGCAGAAATTATAAAATTAAAAATATGAAACCGTAATTTATAAAATAATGAGCAATTACGATCTAAAGGGTATCAAAATTTACAAAAAAAGAAGCTTAATATTTATTTGTTTACTTTATTAGACATTTCTTTCAACGCGCGCATGCGTAAAGCATACCTTACGCATAGCAAACTAGAAAATTGCAACCAGAAAACTATTTGATTTGTATTCGTGATATTTATAATGACGAGGAATTTGATTTAAATCATATCAAAGACGGAGTACATCGAGATTAAATACTACATTTAGTAAGGAATTATAAGCCAAATAAAATAAAAACATCTGTCCTGAGGATAACGATAGTGCTGACAGATCAACTTCCAGTTCATTGCGCGCCGCGACGTCCTCCCCCCCGCACAGAGCAGCGTGAAATTGATAAAGAGATTTCGGAACGGTTAGATAAACAAAGGATATGCCTTTATCCATTTTTTGTAGCAATTCGTTTTTTGTTTGATGGGCATCGAAACATACTTTCGTTTTCTAGATCCTTTGGGAGCTCCAGCATCGGAAATTCTATTTGACATAATCAAAAGTTCAAGCTTACTTTTTATAAAATTGCTTTACAGTCTGCAAAAAATAATAAGCCGGATCCAATTCGAAGATTAAGGAACAATGCAATCATCAATATTAACTGAAATAGATAATTAGATAATTTTAGCTTATACTGTCCGTTATAGATTAAACGCGCATGCGAAAACGTATTCTGCACTTGCGCTGACGCATATGCGCAGTCGTAAATGTCTTGCGCGCACGCGTAAAACGCCTATGCGCATGCGTCAATGTGGCGCATGCGCAGAAAGATTTTAGCTTTGAGGTCCGGATTATGGGTGTTCGAATTAACGACTTTTGACTGTATATATATTTAATCTAAACCATTCAGTAAAATTTTAAACCTTTTTTTATATAAAATAGAAGTGTGCTTATTTGTTTATTTATTATATATTTGCATTATTTTTGATTTCATATTTTTATACATTTCATACTAATTTGACATTCATATTAATTATTTTGTAAACTTGACATTTTTATGTTTTTAGGGAAATGATAGCATTGGTTCTACTGATGATATAAAGCAGTTAATAGTTGTAAGTCATTTAATTATTTTCCTTCAGATGCTTGCATTATTGTATGTTTGGCAGATGCACCTCAAAATTAGAAAAAAAAAACATGTCATGAAAAGTTGAAAGAAATTTAATCCAGTTCATACGTGTATGTGTGTGTGTATATACACTACTGGCCACCGTAAATGCAACGCCTTGAAGGAAGCATGCAAATAACATGCATGCTTCCTTCAGGGTGCATTTTACAACATGCATTAGCAGTTGTTGTCAGGGTGCATTTTACAGCATACATTAGGTCAATTTACAACATGCATTATCAGAGGTGACATATGCAAATGATTAGAATTTCAGCACAGACGCACGTCACGCGTGCCTGTGGCGCCACTTCAAAGCGCTATTTAAGGCTTGGAGTTTTCGATTTCAAGTTCGGCAATTGTGTTTTTCTTGTGGTTTTTTTCAAAAAAAAAAAAAAAAAAAAAAAAAAAAAAAAAAAAAAAGCTATCAATTATGCCTTGTAGTAAATAGCGATCATAGTTTGATCAAGTATCTGAGTTTGACAGAGGAAAGATAGTGGCCTTCCGAGAGTTTGGATTATCTTTCAGGGAAATTGGTAGTTGTGTTGGACGAAACCAAACAACTGTAATGCGGATATGCGACCATTGGATGCAGGAGGGTATGATGGACCGACGTGTTCGATTGCATCCACCTCAGTGCGCCACTTCACGTGATGACAGGAACATTGTGCGCATGGCAGTGATGGATCGCGAACCATAGCACGGCGCATTCAGTCTGTAACTCATTATCCAGTGTCTGTGCGTACCATTCGATGCCGTTTACAGCAGAGTGGTCTGTCCGCAAGACGTCCATTGCTTCGTCTACCCTTGATGCAGAACCACAGATGTCTCCACCACCAATGGTGCGATGAAAGAAGGATGTGGATGGCAGAATGGAATGAAATTGTCTTTACTGACAAGTCGCGCTTCCGTCTGCAATACGACGACAGTCGGATTCGAGTCTGGAGACACCGTGGAGAGAGGATGCTGAACAGCTGCATTATGCACCACCACACTGGTCCTGCAACGGTATTATGATATGGGGCGGTATTGGATATCACTCTCACACTCCTCTAGTATGCATTGCCGGTAATTTAAACAGCCAGCACTATATCTCCGAGGTGTTATGGAGCCAGTTGTCCTTCCTTACTTTCAGGGCTTGCCCACAGCCATATTTCAACAGGATAACGTGCGACCACACGGGCACGCATTGTCCAAGGGTTCTTTGTCAATCGCAAGATTGAATTGCTTCCCTGGCTGGCTCGTTCTCCGGATCTTTTACCAAAAGAAAACATGTGGGCCATGGTTGCTGAACGATTGACCCAGATTACATCTCAAGCTGCTACACCAGATCAACTTTGGCAACGTGTGGAAGCTGCTTGGTCTGCTTTACCCCAAGAACACATCCAAAGTCTCTTTGAATCAATGCTGAGGCGTGTGGCAGCGGTGATCTCCAACAATGGCGGCTACTCTGGCTACTGATTCTGGAAGGAATCACACTTCACAGAAGTCTATAAATTTAATCATTTGATACTTGGTCAACATGTTATCTACTAAATAAATTTTATTGAGATGTCTCTTGTCTTTCTTGGTGTTGCAATTTGGGTGGCCAGCAGTGTATATACAGACACACACACTAAACTCTTGCTTATATAAACTTTAAAGTTTGGTATATAGTTTAAAACTTGTATAAACGTTGCTTATATAAATTTTTTTAAACTGATTTCATATGTATATATATATAGAGAGAGAGAGTATAGAAATTTCAAAATTAAGATTATTAAAGTCATGCAGTATACTGCAAAGTTTATGAAATAGTCAAAAAATAAAGAGACAATAAAATCAGTACTGGTGGCAAACTGATAGGAATAATACAGGGTTTGTACTGTTCTTAAGAGTCCTTAAAAGTCCTTGGATTTTTTTGAAATCATATTTTGGTTGTAGAGTTCCTCACTTTAGAATTCTAAGTTAATGTTGGAAGTGAAGAATCTAAGAACTGATTAAGCGGATAATCACTTGCATTCAGTGACAAGAAACAAGATAGAAGGGTAACTAACCCCTTTATTATTCCAATAAGATTTAACAAAACTCCGCCTGGGAGTGTACAAGCAAAGCCCGCACTTGGACTTGAACTTAAAAGACTAAGAATTAAACTAAAACTAAGATTAACTAAAGAAGTATAGCCGAAGCTATCAAGATTCTAACCCAGTTGGCCCCTTAACTTATTTGACTACGAAGCTTAGCAAGGGCCTAAATACGGCCGTGCATAATAACAGCTTTGAGAGAGAGAGAGAGAGTGGCCAAAAAGGCAGACGCACGTAAATCAGAAACTGATTCTCTCTGACTCAGTAAGTAACTTCGTGGTTTAAATACTGCTCCTCCTCATTAAATATTCAGCAAAATTCCAAAAGTACGTTCTGGCCGGAAGTAGTAAGTTGAAGTTAAGAATTTGCCAGGAAAGGAACTTTAACTTAAATTTTAACTGTTAATAAAATTAACATAATCCTTACATGGTCCTTAAAATTCTTTAATTTTGGCCAAACTCAGCAGAAGGACCTTAATTTTAATCATCTGAAATTTCTGTCTTTTTTTACGACTGGCATTTTGAGTGTGCATTAGCATGTTGGGGAAATATTTTTGGTGATTCACTGACATATATGGTTATCTTTTGAATGGGTTTATGGGTTATAATTTGTTTCTATTTCTGATATAAATGATATACTCGAGTTTCTAAGCAAGAAGTGAAACTTAAGCATTTTGAAATTCATTTTTTCTAATAAAGAGCTTTTAAACAACTTTTCACTTTTGGGATGTGAATTCTTTTATTAAACTATTCTAAATTTGGCGGCAAAAATTCTGTTCACACATGTAGGTACTGCCAAAGATAGAAGGTGTGAATAGTGCATGTTTACAAATTCCTGAATACTTGCCTTTGGTCACATACTTCGAATAAAAATAAATTAAAATAGGATTTTCAAGAAACTTGCATTTTACTGCAGAGTCGCACTGTAAATCTATAAATTCTAATTGAAGTCGAGTTGGAACAATATTACACAAGAAAAATTACATTAGAAAAAGTGAAATTTTTGAAAAACTCATTATTTTCAGAAAACGTTATCTCAAATATCAGACATGTCAATAACATGTTTTAAATATCAAGAGTAAGATTAAAAAAAAAAAAAAAAAAAAAATTAACTACAAAAAGCTGACAAGGCAATTTTTCTTGAAATCAAAATTTCTTCTAATTCAAATGGGGGGCCACCAAAATACCTTCAGTGGGCCACCCGTTGAAGACCCATATTTTAATGCATCATACACATAGCTGTCACTAGGCATTTTCCCATCTGATGCAATCTCTGTGGATCCAAAATTCTGCTGCGTAGTGCCTTTCTAAATTCTGCCACATCAGCTCTGTTACGATCCTTTACCATTATGAGCTAGTAGATAAATTGCTTAAAGTTTATTTTATTCTCAAACTTATTAGTAATTATGTTAATTAATTCATGTTTAGTAATAATGCATACTACTTAGGAATCTGTTTTATTTTTAGGATGGTATTAATCAAAAGTGATTTCAGTCATAGATAATATTTTTAATTAATTTTTTTCATTAATGGTCCTTAATTTCTGTGTGCAGAAATGTATATGAACGCTGTAATGTAAATCAAAATTGGGGAGGGGAATGTGCTATTTTATTATATTGTTTTGTTTTTGCTTCAATTTTGATTTGTATTCTTCTGGTTAGTCAGTTTGCCATCAGCATTGAATTAATTATTATATTTTGATTTTACATATATACCGTATATGCTTATGTAATGTCCACACCCCAACTTTACAGACAAAATTTACATAAATAAAAGTGACGTGCACAATGCCCGCACCCCAAGAACTAAAGAATTTCTTACTTTAAAATATATTTTTTTAACATCGCCTTTTCCCCTATAATCAATAACAAGTTAATAAACATCCTTAAAGAAAGAATATGAATTTGTTTTGTCTTTGGTTGCCGCCAGGATGGAAAGCTTGCATTATGGTGCAACTGTTATTCAGTCATAACATCGGCGCCAGCAATTCACTCGGCAGATGCGATAATAAATGTAGGCAGTCCAAACAGGTTTTCACCACACTGGCTTCCAGGAAATACTGTTTTGTAATGAAATTACATTCCCCTCCTTTCTCCTTGGAGCATTTGCTTATTTTATGCTTTCTCTTTTCATTCATAGTATCATTTGAAATTCGTTGTAGTTAGCAGGTAGCATGCTTGAAATGGGAAAATACAGCAGCTGTACAGCAGCTTTTAAACTGAAAGTCTTAGAATTTATACAGGCAAAAGGAAAAAGAGCAGCAGCAAGAATATAATAAGGTGGACAAAAAGTGTGTGTGCAATTGGAGCAAACAGCGTGAAGAACTGGCGGCAAGCAAAGAAAACAATACGTGTGTTTTATGGTTTGAAATGCAAGTTTTCGAACTTGGAAAAAAAAGTAAAAGCGTATGTTTGTGATATGCATGCTCAATATTATGTAGTAACATGGAAAATGGGCCAAATAAGCGCGCTTGCTGCGACACGAGAAGACATTTCTACATCGCAATTCAAGGTGAGTGAAGGCTGGTTGCTGCAAATGATTAAACGAAATGGATTTTCATACAGTGCATCAGAACAGATTTAAAAAAAATGTGTGCAAGATATTAAAAGAACCAATGTTTATTTAATTTTTGTAAAAGTAAAAATTAAAATTGCAAGTGTTGGTTAGTTTATGCCTCTATATTGTGCTCCTGTGTGAACTACTATGGGCCGAGTGTTGATAATGTAAATGGGGAGAAAGTGAGTTTGTAAATTTTAGTTAGCTATTAGACAACTTTAAATACGATACTTTTACTACTTATGTCATTTTCTTACAGCTTGAACCAACTTATGAAGGTCCTTACCAGGTCATTAACCCATCAGAAAAATAGTTCAAAAGTAAAATTAAAGGAATCAAAGTATAGATCTGCTTATCTTATTTCAGATTCTTACAAAGTTAGTCTTGAAGCAACAAATAATGATCCAGATGAGCCAGTAACTGCAGGCAACATTTTTAATTTGCCAGCACCAAGAATTCACTTCACCGTAACTTTGCCAACTGTTAAACGGTCTCTGGGAGAACCATTAAATTTCCTGCGTGGTTTAGAGACTGACAGAACTTATTTAAATGAAAAAAAAACTGCTGTACTCTGCATTATATCCTGCCATGGAAAATGTAACGTTCATAACTCGTTGGAGAATAAATGTAATAGTTTTAAGTCAAAATGTTGAATTATTTTCATTTTCTCATGTACATATGCATGTTTTTAAATATAGTCTTTTTTATGTTTGTAATATTTTTGTAACTTCAGCTGTCATTTAGGGTACATTAGTTCAGAATGGGAGGTGCAGAAGAAACAAATATTTAAAATAAAATGTATTATTGAAGTTTTTTTTTTTTTTTTTTTTTTAAAGTATTCCTCTTTGTTAAATAAGAAAAGTATGTAATTATAATTTTTGGAATACTGCCGGCAACAGCTACAGTTTGTTATGAAACTGGCTTTACTTCCAGGATCAAGTAATGCTTTACACAACTGATATTCGTCAGACAAATCTAACATTTTTGTATTAGCTGTGCATCATACATTCTGTAGAGAATAATACATCATAACGAATGTTAAAATCTGACCTTTAATTATTGAACTCTTGGTATTTTCATTTGATTAAACTGGTTGAACGTTGTTTACATCAGGTGATTTGGAAGAAAATGTCTTTAGCAGTCGGAGATAACATGCTTGAATTACTTGTTATTCTGCTATGCATTATATTTGCAGTTTTATGAAAACAATGTTTGATGATGTCTTTACATTTATGAATTGTCTAACATGCTTGAATTACTTTTTATTCTGCTATGCATTATATTTGCAGTTTTATGAAAACAATGTTTGATGGTGTCTTTACATTTATGAATTGTCCTTCGTACATTTATAAATACTTCTACACCATGAAGCTGTATGGTGTGACACTAAATACTTAAACACTGATTTTCTTGACAAAAAATTAGCTCAATTCTGAATATTCAAATTAAAGAAACTGTTACACGTCAATAATGAATGATTAGTTGCACTACGTGCACCAGGCATAGATATCCAATGCCAGTGATGCAACTTTATCTGTAAACCTTTTGCCTTAAACACGTTGCTGTTTACTGTTTTGCAGAATTCTAGCATGAGATTATAGAAATTACAATAAGTCATTAAGCACTAAATTTTCCTCGTTGGTGAAAAATTTTTCATGGAGCTAAGATGTGAAAGACAACAATCATTGTGATACACTAAGAGTTACATAAAACAACAATAGTTAACAAAATTAAAAACTCAAAAAATGTCCATTGTGAAACACAATTTTTTTGTGCTGTTCTTCCCATGTAAACAGCAGTTTGTTTTAACTAAAAAAAAAAAAAAAAAAAAAAAAAAAAAAAAAAAAAAAAAAAATCACATTCTGTTGCTTTCTCATGTACACTGCAGTCTGTTTTTAGCTTAATCAAAGAATAGCACAGAGTTTGCATAGGTGCACAAAATTTTGGCCCACAGCATTTGTAAATCTCAAATTTGGCCACTGCAAACTCAAAAAATGTGAATTTTTACATTTTCCACTATTAGGCAACATGCCGTATTTTAGAAGAAATGAAATGCTTTCTTTTTTATCAGCTGGGAAAATTCTCAAACAGATTAGAATTCCTTACATGGGAGGGAAAATGCACTCAATGCAACAAAAACTGGATAATCAGAAAGTATAAAGTACTCTCCCACCATCCTTATATAGAACAATGCAATTTAAATTTCACTTCAAGAATCCAGAAAATTTTCTTCCTCTTTAACCGAAAGTTTCAAAAGAAAAGACGTATTCTCTCACAGTATCTATGAAAAACTAAATGGGATTTTCTGTTATAAATTTGATAAATATGAAATTCTGTTTCTAGTAAAGCTAAAAACTAGTTACTTTTTATGTGAAAATCTCCAGAAAACTAAATTTTATGCAATTTCAAAATAATTATTGCAAACCCCAAACCGAAGTAATTTAATTAGAAACAAAAATTTTTAATAAACAAATTTTAGGTACTGCAGCATCTGAGCTCTTGATAATTTGTTGTTGTTTAACTATTTTCATGCCTCAAGTAACATTTGGATTCATTTAGCTGTGCAGTTGCTAGTGGCTTATGTAGAGAGGAAGTTACTGTATATCCTGCACTTAGATGTTATGTTTTAATATGATTTTATTTTTATATAAATTCAATTTTTTTATTATTAGAAGTGCATTTCATTTATGCAAATCATTATTTTATAGGATGATTCCCATAAAGAACTAAAAAGCAATTTAGCTGAGACAAGTTTCAACTACATAAATAGTGTAATTGGCTCTGGAATTGTAGGTTCGTGTTTTTTAATTTTTCTCCATCTTTCTTTAAGCCAATGTTTATTAAAAACTATCTGATGGATATGGATTGAAATATAGTTATGATTCCAGATTTTATGAATATAAGTTAATAGCTTTGTTAATTAAATTAATGTAATATTAATATTCTTATATGATGATTTAAATATTCAAATGATAAGTTCATTTAATATGTCTGTAGTTCATTTAATATAACTGTAGTTTATGATGGATATGAATTAAAATATAGTAATTCTTTCAAATTATGTGAGTATCAGTAAATGTTATGTGATGTAATTGTGATAGTTTAAAATATCTTAAAAACTGGTTATGTAATTTTAACTTTAAGGTATATATAACTTATATATATCCTTGCAAAATTGTTAATTAGATGTCTTTGATATACAGAAAATGTATGTAATTAGAGAACTCGACTATAATACAAATTCTTTTGAATTTTTTTAGCTATCTTGCTAATTTAAAAAGCTTGGTCTTGCTTTGTGAATACTAAAATTGGGAGGGGTCTTTAAATATTTTTTTACTTCTAACCTAAAAGTATTCTTTTCACAGTCAATGAGTTATTTCTTTCTATCTGTTCTAACCGTAAATATTTTAATTTAAAAGCAAAGCTTCATTCTCCTGCATAAGTTCGATGTTATATTCAGAAAGAAGGTTATTGTGTTATTCTTTTGCTTTAAAGATTATGGTATAGGGGTGTTGCCAGTACCTCCGAATCACTGCAAATAATACCACTTAATTCTGCTTTCATGTGAGCAATGCAGCAATTGCTGCTTCTTCTTTGAGGGAAGGGCTGTGGGAATGGCTTCTTTTTAAAAAATTTTATCAAGTCTAATTACAACAAGTACATGTCTGAATTGCTTAAATTTTTTTTTTTTTTTACTAATACTTTCTTACTGAAAGTTTCTGAACAGCAAATGTTCATCTTATTTTTATTTTTACTGCATTTTGCTTTATACATTTATTAGATTTAATGAGTAGTGAAGCAAAAGCAATCCAGGTATTTTGCCAAAAAAATATGAGGGTTCCACCTCTCATGCAATGAAACTGTACATGATGGATGATGTATGATGGAAATGTGGAGTCAACAACTGCCAAAATTCTGTTAGAATAAGGTCTGGGAAATGGTTCAAGAGACGCACTTGTCTTCCACTTTAGAAGAGTTCATATGAAGGCAAAGAGAGAATAACAATACGATGCAGTTCTGAATGTGATTGTCAAACAATACCAGCAGGAAATCGAAAACATATTTTATCATCAGAAAGTTCCAGTTGATTGTTGACTGTTTAATAGGCTGGTACTGGTCTGTACACTAGCAGCAAAAATGTAGCAAGATTTGGTTTATTTAGGGAAAGAGTTAACTGAAATATTACACCTGATTCGTTGAAGCTTTAATGAATTTAACTGTGAAATTTTTCTGAAATATATTTTCTCTGGTGGATTCTCACTATACTATTTCAATATGGAAATTTTTAACCATTTCTGGAAGGGCGTCCCATATATGCATTCCCTAAGAACGTCTCTTGCAGCCAGGCGTCCTATCCACGCATCATTAGAGATTGCATTCAGAGGACGGATGCGTTAGCATTTTAAGCTGGAACATTTTTCTGACTAGACCACTAGATGGCATCCTATGTCCATTACTTTTGAAATGAACACAGTTTTAGGTTCCTGACCTTGAGTTCGATATATTCTGCCTGACTTTGGTATTTTACTCATCAACTGTTGGGTGGGTGGGGAAGCGCAAACAGAGGTGGGCTCTTTCAGTCGCCACATGCTAATACAAACATTCGCGTGTCTGATTTATATCGAATTCCTTTTTTTATTCTATTTTCCCTTCTACTGTGTATGGTCTTTTAGGGTTACTATGTGGAGCTCTGTTACGTTTTGCATTACCTTCAGATATATTTCGGGGTGTTCTCTTTTTATTTCGGAAAGCCTCACCTCCAATCTATTATGGCATGAAGGCACTATTTATCAGAGGAAGAATACACTCATATGGTTAATGAACCATTTGACAAACACAGATGAGAGTGATGATTCATTTTCTAAAGAGCTAGAAAGTGAAACTTTTTCTAAGAGTTAGAAAGTGATAATTCTTCGTGCTTTGAGATTTACCGAGATGAGTCTTCATTTTAAATTTTGTTACTTCTTACTGTAAATCGTCTTTATTGTGTTGTTTTATTAATTTTAAACTTTATTGGTGAATTTTATCAATTAAAACTTTTAAATAATTTGAATAGCACTTCTGAAAATTATTTTACAGGATAAGAAATTTTTTAATATATTTTCATGTAAAATAAAGAAAAAAAGGTTATTAAATGCTAATTTAAACATATATAAGAGCTAAGGTAATAAACTAAAATGATACCAAAAATTACGATGCTAGAAGTGAAACCTATGTTTTTTTTTTTTTTTTTTTAATAAAATTAAGCTTACCGATGCAAAACCCCCATCCTGTAGGATGACTACCTTCGATTCCCTTCTGTCTCACACGAGCGTGTTAAACAAAGGTGCGTCGTCATGAAAGGGCTAAGGTATTAAAAACATTGTGTGCTTGGATAGCAGTTGTGGCCTAGATATGCCACGTTCTTTGAATCTGTTGATGATTAACTATGTGTAAATTCTGGATATGTTTAAATCTCTTTTTGTATACATATTTTAAATTAAGTTTGTTTTTTTGATTTAGAGCCAAAATGTGAGACTAATATTTGTTGCACATTTTAAAAAATTAAAACAGTCTGAATGTTGTATATTTACAAGAGAGAATAAATGTCTAGTACAGTACAAAGTTCGAAATCCGGATGTCCATTATCAGGAATGATCTGATAATGGACCAACAACCACCAACAACGTTTTCTCGTAGGCTTTATGCATGCACGTTTGATTCCCCCCCCTCTGCATTTAATAAAACATTTGGAGAGTTCCAATTCTTAATTTCACTTCGACACTAAATAAAATACCATGTTAACCTTGTTATTGAAGAAACAATCATTTTAGCGTAAATTTGTACGATAAGTAATTTGGCTCCATTGCTGCATATCTGCTTGGCATGCATATCAAACCGAAACATTCCACATAGATACATCCTTGATCTGATATGGTAAACAAATAAATATTAAGCTTTTTTTGTAAATTTTTATACTCTTTAAATCATAAATACTTCATTATTTCATAAATCACGATTTCATATTTTTAATTTTATTATTTCTACATGCCATCTTACTAGATTTAAACTGATGATCCAATATCCAAAAAAATCCTGAATCTGGAATTGGCGAAGTCTGGATTTTGGACTTTTTACTGTATTTAGTTTATATTGTTTTGATGTATAGTTAATCGTATCAGATCTCAGTGCATAGAGATAGGCATAAATCAACATGGGATTTTTTAAAATTTATTACATGTGTATTTCAAAAGGAATTGGAAATCACTCTTGAAGACTTTTGTGATTAGTTTATAGCAGAGCCGAACTCAGTTTTTTTAAAAATACTTTAGTCTTTATTATGTTCGTATGTTAAAATCAGTCCATTTCAGCCACTTTCATTTTGAAATTGTTTTAGACAAGAGTGTGAAAAAAAAAGAGGGGTGGTCTGCCTTTTTCAGTTGTTTTACTAATTTTTTACATGAATAAAAATTAGCCCTTTTAAAAAATTTTCTTCAAACACTGGATATGTTTTGTAATAAATTGAGAACCTGATCAAAACTTGAGTATCTGAAGGTGTACTCAGGTACAAACACAGTAAGACCCCGCTTAACGCTGTTTCGGTTTAGCGCTCTTTTATTTCAACCCGGGGATTCCACGAAATCGCTCGCAGCATACGGGGATTCCCCCGAAATATTATGCAGCGATAGGTTTCAAATACATATCCGAAAGAGTGTACTTGTATTTCTTGTTTGTTGCGGTATTGTACAGACATATTTTGAAGGGGTAAATGTGGAAGATGTCGAAGAAATAATTCAAGAAGCAGCGGCTAGTCTTTCTAATGATGAGCTCAAGGAATTAACTGAACAAGAAGAAAACAAAAATGTTGACAGCAGTGATTCAGAAGAAGAGCAAGAAGAACTTTCGATGGCGTTTGTAAAAAGGAGTTTGTCTACCATAACTGAAATAACGGATCAATTCATTGAAAATGATCCGAATTTTGACAGGAGCTCAAAAGTAAGGCGTGGTGTTAGAGATGCTCTATCCGTTTATGAAGAACTTTTAAGAGAACAACGCAAAAGAAAAAGGCAAACAACATTAGATGCTTTTGTCACAAAAAGGAGGAACACTGAAAACGCGGAAGGCTAACTAAAATATGACTGACTTAGAATTTTATTTGTTTTTTTTTTTTTAAGAATATTCGTTTTGTTATTTATATTTTGTTTTTATTTTTGCAAGAAATAATAATGTGGTATTAATTTGGGCTTTAAGAAATAAATGTTTAGTTTTATTTTTATTAAAAAAACATACTTTTTAAATTTAATACCTAACTAATTTCCTAGCCATATTCCCCTAACCCCAATATTTACATGTGAAGATAGCCTCCTTTAGCGCTGTTTCGCATTACACTCTACTTTGATGGAACGTATCCCCCGCGTTAAGCGGGGTCTTACAGTAATACTTATTTTATAAGCTAATTCATATTTAATTACAATTTTTTTTAGGAATACCGTATGCACTTCAACAAGCAGGCATTGGCTTGGGTATTATTTTGCTTCTATTAATTGCTGTAGCAACTGACTATTCACTTTGTATCATGATAAAGGCTGGTACAGCTGCAGGAGTGACTACTTATCAGGTATCTGTTTATAATTGCTTTGTCTTGTATGGATATTTCTAAATTACATGCTGTATGTATAAAGCATAAAGTTTTCTGAGGCATGCTGAATTTTAGGGATATGTTTCATGAGGATGTTCATGAGGATGTTTCATGAGAGCATCTTTAATTTTAAAAGCTTTTCAATATGCAAAACGTTTTTCATAAAAAATTGAAAATTTTTAGTTTGGAAGATGTAAAAGTCAAAATTGGCTCTCTCCAGCTGTCCAAAAAGGGGCAATGGGAAATTCATTTGAAGCCAACTCTTTCTCTGCATAGAAGGGAGGGACGTTTTGCATTAGGTGTACAAAATCCCATTGTAATTTTTATATTCACCTAGTCTGTATATTATTGAAAAATCATCACAGGAAAATGAGCATTGTGCTGAATATGAATTTCCAGCTCCATCTTTAACATCTGTGTTGCTAAAATCATTTTTATTAAAAATCCTTACAATGTTAATGCTATTATAGATATTATGTATAGGTTAGGAAAGTGTGATTGTCGTATCAGAATCAAGGATGTTGATCTGATCCTTGTACGGGAATATTTGTGTTGTCTCTTCATGGGTGTAGTGACATTTTTTGTCATGAGTTGACAGCTGGGTTCGGCAATCATCTGGTAAGTAACAAATGGGCAAGCAAACCACTCAGATGTTGGGGAGGAACGTGCCATATTTTCATACTGAGGTGGATTGTATGCTGTATCACTTAGGTAGATTGCCTGCTTATATTTTGATTACCTCTTTATTTTTATGTTCCCCCCCCCACTTTCTTCTGGAAAACCGACTGAATGAATGAAATTCATGTAGTCTTGCAGCATGCATGGTGACCCATATGACATGATTTTAAAGTTATGTATTTTGAGTATTATTCTGAAAATGGAATTGTTAAAAAAGTTCACCTGTAAGAGCTAATTTTACAAAGTGCTTTAATCATTTAAAGAACTTATTAAAAGGAGAAAATTTTAAGGAAGATCCAATTATTGGATCCAGTTTTGCTAATTTATGTAGAATTTATTCTCAGCTAACCAAAAGATGATGATAAAAAATATCAACATGAGTATGCCATAATAAAAGAATATAACACAAATTTATGTTTAAAATACCGTATTTATGCGAATTTAATGCGGCATCGAATCTAATGCGCATCCCCATTTTAAAATTTTAAATAATAAAAAAATTGTTTGTCGGCGAATGTAATGCGCATCAATGATATGAGGAATTTATTGAATCTTATTTTATACAACAATGGATTTGTATATAAACTATCAATTAATGGTATGATAATTTTATTTAAATTTAGATACCATATTTTATACAACAATGGATTTATACATAAAGTAGCAGAACATAGAATTAACCTATTAGTGGGCTATTGTCATGTGAAACAATCATTGTTAATTAGCACTACCGTATATACGGTACCTATCGTAAAATATGAACATGAAATAAATCATAACATTTCTATCTAGCTAACAGTTTTTACAAGCAGTGATTAATAGTAAACGTCTTTATTCACTAATGTTTTCATCACTGGAATCCTCGCAGCTCTCTTCGTCAGAAGCAGATTCATTTCTTCTTTCCTCATCATCGTCATCGTCATCCTCGGCGTTCCAGAGCACGTCATCATCACTGCCATTCAATGAATTTGAAATGCAGCATTTCTTGAAAGATTTCACAATCATTGGTGCTTCGATGCTTTTCCCAGGCAGCAGAAACCCAGTGTGCAACAATGTGCGGTGCAGCACGCTTAATTTTTTCCTGTCGGTGGTCAATACACGGTTTGGCTCACAAAACCATTTTTCGTACTCTGCCTGAATGTACCCCTTAAAAGGTTTATTTATACTAACGTCCAGGGGTTGTAACACAAACGTCATCCTTCCAGGAATGATAAGAAGATCACTGCCTAGGCTGTTCATCTTCTTTTTTACGTCGTCGTTGCGATGACCACTAAATGTGTCCAGACAAAGCATTGATGGTGGATTAGAGAGCCCACCGGGACGGCGTTTCCATACATTTCGGAGCCAATCAAGCATTAATGATTCCGTCATCCACCCCTTCTCTTAGTTTCGAATCAGGACATCATCTGGGAACAGCTTTTCATTCTTAGGGTTTTAGGGCATGTTTTCCGTTTGAAGATTAAGAAAGGGGGAAGTTTGCACCCGTCTGCTGTTATTGCCAGCATCACTGTTACGCATTGTTTTTCACATCCCGAAGTTTTGATGATAACTTCCTTAGTCCCCTTTTCCGTAATGGTGTAGTTACGAGGCATATCAAACCAAGTTGCCGTCTCGTCAGCGTTGCCATTTTGCCCATTGAAAAATTCTTTTCCTTCCGAAGTGTGATGACATACCACTGAAATGTTAGTAGTTTTCCCTCAAAATCTGCAGGAAGCTTTTGGCATATTGTTGTACGGCGTCTTAGAGATAAACCCATCCGCTTCATAAACCGATCCACCCATCCACAGCTAGCCTTAAACTCTTGTTTCGGTATTCCAAGAACTTCAGCCTCCTCTTTTGCTTTATTTCTTATGGTGTCACTAGTCACAGGTTGTCCATTCTTTCTCCTTTCACGTACAAATTCCAAAACTTTTTCTTCAATTTTAGGGTGTCTTCCTTTGCGAGGGCCAGTGAATTTCTTTCTACTAGCTTTAGTTGCAAACAGTGCCAATTTCTGTTGCCGCCACAAGCGAACATTGCTCTCAGCTATGTTGAACTCTCTCCCTGCCTTTCTATTGCCATTTTTTTTTTCAGCATAAAGAATTACTTTACGTTTGAAAGTAGCGTCATATGACATTCTTCTCTGTTTGTCCTCCATTTCATGACTACGTACTCTGCAGTTTGTATCCTCTATGCAATAATGTGTCAACGATAAATGTAACGGTAAATGTAGTCGAGAAATTTGGTTGACGTCATCGGCGAACTTTGCACTCGAATCTAATGCGCACCCCAATTTTGAATACTACATTTGGCCAAAAACGATGCGCATTAGATTCGCGTAAATACGGTATTGAAAAGAAAGGTGAAATTTCGTGCTGAAGGGGATTGCATGCTTTATCTTCATTACTTATTCCCCCCCTTTTTTTTTTTGAGAACTGATTGAATGAATGAAATTCAGATGCAGTCTTGCAAAAAAAAATCGCTACATGTTATGTAAATAAACTATATAACTGTTGACACAGTTTTAATATTTATTCTATTTGAAAGTTATTTTTATTTCAATATTTATTAATTTTTGAAAAGAAATGTGTGATGTGAAGTTTTATTTTCCACCCTAGCAATTAGAATGAAAAATAATTTCATTTAAATTTTATAACATTACTACTGTGATGGCTGTTGCAAATTATCTGTTTCAAACTTATTTTAAAGAATGTATTATAGTAGATTAATAATTAGGAAATTCAGCTTCTCTGTAGACTTCAATGAAAGGTTCCATGCATTTTAGAGATAAAAGGGAAATATTTCTTAGGAGAAAATTATTAATTTTTACTGTGTGTTTGGGAAAGGGTGTTAAGCATGTATTAACAATAGTCTATATGTGGCCTTTGTGTACACAGCTAAATGAAAATTCTTTTATTTACACTAAGCTTTACAGTTGTCAGAATTTCAGGTATCTGTGATCAGTATCTGAATTTGCTTTGTTTTTTAACAGGCTCTTATACAGTCTCAGTTTGGAAAACCTGGTTATTATTTTCTAACTGCTGCTCAGTTTCTTTATCCATTAATAGGTATGTTCACTTTATTTTTAACTATTTATCAATGTTTTAAATTCTAGTAGTTGAATTTTATGTTGAGACTTTTTTTGAATTCCTTCTTTACAGCAATGATAAGCTATAACATAATTATTGGTGATACAATAACTAAAGTTCTTATGAGAATGTTTCATGGTAAGTTTTATTTTTCATATAGTGCATTACATGTATTTTTTTCTAATTGCTATTCAATTTTCAACTAACATATCTTTTAACAGCTCATTAGTTGTCATTGTAAGTTCTGTTCTCTTAAAACTTCAGGACATATTCTATTTCAGTATCACGCAATTCTGTATTGGGAAACAGACATTTCATTGTTCTAATGTCAACTCTTTTCATTACTTTGCCTCTTTCCCTGTATCGAACAATTGTGCGACTATCTATAGTAAGTTTGTTTGTTTCATGTGATATTTTAAGCTGAAATGCTGCTGTTTTATGAATTTAACAGATTTAGCTTCGTTGTGATTTGTCATTAAAATTTGTTAAGACTAATGCACACTTAATTCTTGTAGGTTTCATTTCTGTCACTACTGTTTGCTGTGTCTATTGTGTCTTTTGTTCTTATTAGAGCCTTCATAATGTCAGGTGAAATGTAAGAATTAAACCTTATTTTATTTCATTGAATAAACAGCTGCTACTTTGTAAATTTCATTCTTTGCTTTTTATAAATTCAGGTATAAAGCAGTTTTTGAAGTTAGATTTTGTTTTATATATTTGTATTGCCCTCCTGACTGAATCACTGTAATTTCTAATTGCAATAATATTATTGTGTTTTTAGTAAATATTACATTTGAGAATACATATGTTTTTCTTATTTTTATAACGAGTTTTCTTTTTATTCTTCAGTCCTGCCACTCCTGATGCTTTTGCATTTGCAAATACAGGAATTACTGAAGCAATAGGAGTCATAGCTTTTGGTAATATTGTAGTTTAACATTTTATTTCAGTATTTTATGAATTGAAACATATAGTGCAGATGTAAGCCAGTGTTGTATCGTGGAATGCCAAAGAATTTTGTTCTTTTTTGTTCTGTTCTTTTATTTTAATTTGAAAGAGTTTAGAGTTATATGTGTAGTTTTTCATTCTTTTTCCTTTAACTAATTTCTTTAAGAATGGGGATGTTTAATTAATTTACATATTATTTTCTTCTTTAGCATACTGTGAGAGGTTATGTATTTTTTGTTTCCTGTTTTGTTGTTTGTTTTTAAATACTTTCATTTTGGCATTTAATTAAAATATTACTCTGCATGTATTTATTTTTAAATCCATTGAAAAATAAAATTTATTGAAGTAAACTGTATAATTAAGGTTTGGTGTATTGAGATTCTGGCAAAGCATACTAGGGCTATCTGCATAATGGGAGGGATGCCTCTGTGGAGGACTTTCTAAGGGAAACTGGCTCGTACACGTGTTATACATGGGGAAAACCACGAAAATGCCCATTCGCGGGATTCGAACCTTGGACTGAACTACCGTTGATCAGTGACTTTACCGCTCGGCCACTGGTGGTCGTATAATTAAGGTAAATAATCTTAAAAGCATTACTTTTTTTAAGAGGGGGACAAAAGTTTTTGACTTTCACAGTACATACTGGAAATATGATCCTGTCTGTATGTTTCGTATGATTTTGTTAAGTATTGATTGGGTTTCATAAAATTGTATTTATGAGAAATATTCTTGCATGATATATGATCATTAAGATTATAAAGACAGTGAAACCACAGTTCACTAATTTAACTTACTCCTAAAGGCAGTTTTATCAACCAAAATATTCATAAACCAATTAATTTTTCCCACAGGGATTAATGTAAAGTGAATTAATTCATTCCACGGCAACATATGATTGCTTATGTACAGTCAAAAGTCGTTAATCCGGACTCATCGGGACTTCGGCGATTCCGGATTATCGATTTTTCCGGATTATAGATCATCAGTTTAAATCTGGTAAGATGGCATGCAGAAATTATAAAATTAAAAATATGAAACCGTAATTTATGAAATAAAGAACAGTTATGATCTAAAGGGTATCAAAATTTACAAAAAAAAAAAAAAAAAAAGCTTAATGTTTATTTGTTTACTTTATTAAACATTTCTTTCAATGTAAGTTGTTTAAGTTGCTTCGTTTTTTATGTGATAATACATTCTCTTTAATTCTTTAAACAGACATAATTTCTTGTTCAGTTACAAAGTTCCGCTGTTCAAGTCCTGTAATTGCTGTGCCTAGAATACCGACTAACTTGTCAATCGAAATTTTTTCATTTTCACTAACCTCTCTGTCACATTCTTCATGTCTTTATCCATTTTTTGCAGCAATTCCACTTTTTGTTTGATGGACATCGAAACATACTTTCGTTTTGTACGATCCTTTGGGAGCGCCAGAATCAGAAATTCTATTTGACATAATCGAAAGTTCAAGTTTACTTTTATAGTATTGCTCTTACAGTCTGCAAAAAATAATAAGCCGGATCAAATTCGAAAATTAAGGAACAACGCAATCATCAACATTAACTGAAATAGATAATTTTAGCTTATACCGTCCGTTGTATAATCTTGTATATATACATTACTTGTGTTCTTATTTCATGGCCTACCTAGTCACTCCATTTGTTTGACTGGAAGGCTCTGAAAACATGTAGTTTTATTTATTTGTAAAAGCACAGTGTGCATGTACTAACCACAGTTATTCATATGATTTAATGAGAAATCTTGATCAATAAAGGGTGCATGTGTAAAAATGGAAATTAATTATGTGCATCTGAAATTATGATCCAATTTATCATTATTTGAACTGCTGATTGAATTATTTCATGTGTAAGTTTTCCTTCCTTGATGTCTTGAGGAGTTTTGTACAATACAAAGTTCAAGATCCTGATGTCCAATATCCAAAATGATCTAAAATCTACACCTTAAAGCCACTAACAAAAATTTTTCTTCAGGAATTTTTTTTAATGCTTTACCCATGCACATTTGATTTTTTTCACCGTAAGAAAATGTGGAGAATCCCAGTTCTTAATTTCACTTCGGCACTAAATAAAATACCTTGCTATTGAAGAAACAATCATTTTAGTATAAATTTGTGTGATCAGTAGTTTGGCTCTATAGCTGCATATCTGTTTGGCATACATATCAAAATGTTCTACATAAAAATATTGTTGACTTTACTACTACTAATATATTTTATACTCCTGATGCCCAACCTGGCAAATCATCATTTATTATATTTGCTTTCATCACCGTATATTTATCAACACATGACAACTTGAGTAATGACTCGTGCAGCGATGCCTAAACAATTTTTTTTATATTAGCAATTGAATAACAAAAAATATGGAAACCTTTGATGTTGACATTATGCTTGGCAGTGATTACAGATTTAAGGGTTGATTCCATTTCGCCGGTGCAAGTCTTGCCAAGCAGACTTTATTGGCGACAACACACAATACAATATGCACATAACAAATGCCAGTTGTATGAAATTTTTATTTTGAAGGCATAAACATTTTAATACCATTTAAAATTTTGTAAAAAGACAATAAATAAAGACAATAAATTTGTAAAAAGACATTAATTTCAGAATTTACTATGCTTTTATGGTACAACTTCCTGATTTGCCATTTCATATCACGTTAACCCAAGTGGTCTTATCTCACATAAACTACGCTACAGACTTAAGACTGAAGCAGGGAGTAGCAAAAGTCTGTGATTAAGGCGATGTCGATATCATAAGTCAATAGAAAATTGTGGAGTTCCGTGATTTTATTTAGCACATTGTGTGCATTCCATGTCATAACTTGTATGGGCGCCCTTTTAATTTTTTTTGGACCCATTATGATCTGTTTCAACATTTTTGAGTTCCAGATTGTTTTTCTTCGGGTTTTTGACTTGCTGGGTTAATTGGAGAAAACCCGCACTTTTAATAATATTGACCAGCTGTGCCAAGTCAGAGAAAACCTTGGCTTCGTTGATCATTTCAGAATAGATTCCCGTCAAAATAGCTTGGGAGTACGATTTTCCTTCTGTGATCATATTGGAGAAAGTTTTAGGTTTCTCGGTTTTATCAGATTTATTTTTAGGGTACTTTTCACACCCTTTAAAGCTAGAAGTGTGATTTCTATCGCAATTTGTGCAACAGAGGGGCTTATTGGGGTTATTTTTGTTAGGGCAGTCCTTAATATAGTGGGGGGCCACTGCAGCTGACATATTTGGGTTCATATCTGCAGTAAACCTGTGTATGGTTAAACCTCTGACAGCGGAAACACTGTACATGGCAGATTGATTTCTAATCCAATTTTCTATTTCATAATCTTCAGGAAAATGTATGCTGAAATTACTTACCAATGAAAAACAATGATTTTTGTCGAATGCTAATTCTTTTATTTTCAAATTATTTTCTGTTAGAAAACTTTCTAAAAGTGGTTAAAAGCTTAAAATATTACTATCCAATAGTTTGATTATTAGCTCGAGTTTTTTTTTTTTTTTGTTTTTTTGGTCAATGCAATTATTTTATTTCTAAATGAAAATAAATTAACACTTTGTCCTTGTAATTCTAAATTTAATTAATTTAACTTTCCAAAAATATCAGCTAAATATGCTAAATGTGCCAACCATAATTCACTAAATAAACATAATTCACTAAATAAATAAAAATTTGCAATTCAAATTTTAATTTTTGATCAAAGTTCAAAAAGGCGATTTAAAACTTTGCCTGTGGATAACAACCGTACTTCAGAATGTAACAAAGGCATTTCATGTTTGCTGTCCATCTCTTGGCATAAAATCCTAAATATTCTTGAATTTAAAGCTTGGATTTTAATAAAATTAACAATTTTCATGGCTTGATAAAAAACACTTTTCAGGTTTACAGTAATTGTTTTGGCTGCTAAAGCTTCGTGATGAATGGCGCAGTGAGTAAATTTTGTTCCAGGTGCAACTTTCTTTATTTGAGAAATAACACCGGAATGTTTTGCTGTTAATGCCAAAGCTTCATTACTGCATGCAGCAGTGCTCTTATGCCAATGAATGTCATTCTTGGACATAAAATTGTCAATTACTTTGAAAATTTCATTTGCAGTTGCTCAATAATCAAGAGATTCACGAAATAAACAATCTTCGGCGATTTGTTTGTCTTCAAAACTTCTGTAAACTAATAATTTAAAAGTTAGTTCTACACATGTTGATTCTCGGATGTCCTGAGGACATCATAATTTAACATCCTGAGGATGGATGTCTTGTTTATGTTCTGGGATGCAAGAGGATGTCTTGAAGACATTGATTCTTAGATGTCCTGAGGACTTCAATTTCACATCCTGAGGATGTTCATACTGTATTTTCTGGAGAATTTTGGTTGTCAAACATTCTGAGGATATGTGTTTTCTAATTTACCTGTTAGTTTTTTGACATTTCACATCTGAAACATGTACATAATTTAATTTTCAAATTTATTTTACTAAGTTGTTTCTAAGTGCTGTACAATAAAAATATTTATGTTGATGAATATTGATATGATTGATGATTTATTGTTGTTATTTCATTATTAGTATTAACTGCTATTTTTTCTAACATTTAAAAAAATTTTATATAGGCATGGCAAAGATTTTTTTCAGTGAATTAACATTTTCTAGAATATGTGCTAAATTCTAAATAATGTATATTTTTTATTAAAAAAATGTTTAAATTACATGTATAATTACTTGCAAATTATAAACACTATTATAAATTTAGGCAAAATTAGGGGGGGACTTTTTTTTAGCCTAAAGGATGTTAGCCTAGAACTGCTTTGGCATTTTGCATTGATTCACGATAAATGTCGGTTCACTTTTCAAACTGGTGTCACCAAATATTAGAGTCCTGTATTATATTTAAAGAAAATAAATAATGAAGAATCTGCATAAATGTATATATGCTTCTCACATTGAGA